TTCTGGCGTGATTGAGTAACAAACATCCGAACATCTAAACTTTCACATTTATAAAACGCGGAAACGGCCATTTTTACCAAAAAAATAGATTAGGTAGGTACCCGAAAATTATTATTTACCGTGAATTATAAAAGTTTAAATTACATATTAAAAAACAGTGTAATATTTTTAATTTAAAAATCTATGTTCATTTAAAATGGTTTTAAATTAAAATCAACCTAATACAACTGACTTTACAAATGTCATGGTCTCAATATTTGACAACATTACAAATTGACATTATTTTACAAAGAATAATTGGAAATTAACAAACAAAAGGTTTCTTCTTTCAAATTATTATGAAAAGCCTTCATGGATACAATTACTAAATAAGTAAATACTAATTCGATTTTTAACACCTAAAACTACCTCCTTGCTATATGCATATATTATAGCTCAAAAACAATACGAGCAATACAAAAGAGCAATGTATTTTAGTACGTATATACAAAGGAGGGTAAAATTCTACATCAACTCATTTAAATTTGCTTTTGGTGGTTCTTTAAAAAACATACGTATTCCTGTAAATCAATAAAGAGTCAAAGATTATTTCGTCATTATTGCCAATTGAATCCTACTAATATTATAAATGCGAAAGTTTGCGAGGATGTCTGAATGTATAGATGTATGGATGTTTGATACTCATTCACGCAAAAAACTACTGAATGGATTTTAATGAAACTTTACAATAATATAGCTCATACATCAGGGTAACACATTCTACACAGGCTACTTTTTTATCCCCAAAAATTTACGGTTAATCATTGGTTTTTGTTTTTTTTTATAGAGGCGAACCCGAGCGAAGCGAGAGTTAACCACTAGTGTTTAATAGTTATTTTAATTTAGATATAGTATTTATGAACTTATGGCCTTGTGTTGTTAATATTTATTTATACAATAGTTCAACTAAGGTTAAATGTATACGTTTACAGATTAATAAAGATACTAACACTTCCAAGGAACAACATTGTTGTTAAGAATTGTAGCAATTAAAACTTTAAATATAATTTAAATATGTAATATGAGAAAATTAATTATATTGTTAACTATCTCAAGTTACAATATTTTTCTTTGGAGTTCGATATACATATATGTATCACCACTCCCACTGATAAACTCTAGGCATCGTGACATAGAGCGATACCTATATGTATGTACATCGTACATATGTACATAGTATTTATATATGACTAGCACTAGCCTTCTGCGCTGGAGACAGCAGATTCAATTCCGGGTCGCGATGAATATTTAACTATACGTATATTTATTGCCCGGCTTTAGTAAGAAGAAAGTATGAGACATGTGTCAATATTATTAGAAAACCGAGAAAATAGTGAAAAATACTTTGTTTTCAACCGACTTCAAAAAGGAGGAGGTTCTCAATTCGACTGTATTTTTTTTTATGTTTGTTACCTCAGAACGTCGTCATTTTTTAACCGATTTGGACAATTTTAGTTTTGTTTGAAAGGGTATACTTCCAGATTGGTCCCATTTAAATTTCAAAAACAATACCACTCCTGAGGGTGGTGGAAAAATAGCTAATAATGAATTTAACCTACTTCTAATTGTCATTTTGACTTGAAACTTTGCAAGTGTTTCTATTTCCGTTGATAGTACAGTGGTTCGGTATTGTTGACCTGGTCTGATGGTAAGGCCAGAAGGTGGATAGGTGGAACTCTTCAACGACTAATAGTAGATACTTTGAGTTTGGGCTTATTTTGTTTGGTTTGACAAGCCTAACACTTTAGAATTCTTACTTTGCTATTACTGTCAACACTAAAAAGGGAAAAATAAAAACTTTTTAACAAAAAAATAAAAACCGACTTCAAATAAAAGCACTAAAAAGTAAAAAATAACTGATTGGTAGTTTTCATTTACTGTACATACCTAATCAAATATTTTCGAAGTCGGTGTGCTTTGGCTAAGTTATTAAAGCCTACCTATTAAATACATACCTAATCAAATATTTTCGAAATCGGTGCCAGCCCATACAAAGATACCAATCAGTTATTTTTTACTTTTTAGTGCTTTTGTTTGAAGTCCGTTTTTATTTTTTGTTATGTCTTAAAAGAACGTAAACACAACAAATTTCACCCAATACTTTAGAATATCTCTTTAAAAATTTCAAAAAATTTACAAAAATAAATAGTTTAAACATCTGGTATGGTACGAAATACGAATAAGCACAATATTATTTGACTCCAACGCGGCGCAAATGGATCTCTCTCGAATGTCGATTTAAGTTTATATTTGGTGTAATAACTGTTTACGCCATTTATCATAGCGATAAAACCGTCACATTATAACGTTGTAATGTAATTACGATTATAACGTATGTATATATTGTGTCTTTTTTTTAACATGAAATGAAAATAATTTGCTTAAGAAACAATGGCAAGATGGTGTTGAATATATATGATTTAGAATTAAGATAATTTGTTAAATTTACATTTTCTTTTAATACTTTGACCGTACCTACTTTTAAAGCATAGGTACTTTATTCATTTTAACTTGTCTCGCCCATTTGTCGAAATTCGACTATAATCGTCATTGAAAATTTGATATCTAGATATATATATATATATATATATATATATATATATATATATATATATATATATATATATATATATATATATATCTAGATATAAAAAATACTGTTTCCAAAATGTTTTTATTGATAACACTAAAGCTCGTCAAAGCTACTAAACAAAATAAAAAAAAGAAAATCGGTTTACAAATAGATACATTTTGTCAAGAGGAGAAAGTATACTGAGAACGGTCTGTCTGTTTGCCTATTTATATACAATATAGTTGTTAAAAGGCCAAAGATTTAATATAATGATAAATACTAAATGAAATTCTAAAGCTTTTTTTCTCAATTAAACATACACTATACCAGAATTACTAACATATAGGTACATTAACATCTCACGTGAATTATTTCATAGCAATATTGGTCTCTTAGTTAAAGATTTTGTGCCAAGTTCCCAAACAAGAAGCAACAAACAAATAATCCTCTTTGGTATTTATAATATCGCGTTTCATTTATAGAACAGATATTTTTATATGATAGGTCATATGCCTATCATATAAAAATAACTGTTTTTTCATCTTCCTATGTGTAAACTCTGACTCTACGTCTCCGACTTTCAAAAAGGAGGTTCGTCTGCACGTATTTTTTTGGCGTATTATCGTTAATATAAGTATTTATTTCAGTTATTAGGGCATGTACACAACACACGTCCTGTACATGTCGATCTTTCCGATACAAGCGAACCACAAGCACTCTGTAAGGTATGCGACCGCGAAATTATGCGTTTTTGTAATATTACATGTGCGTCGAAAACGCGTGAAATAGGCGTCTGCATGCCACAATTTCAAGAACAAATGAAAAGGTACAATGGTTGCGGTAGTATTAGGTCTGATGAGCGTTTTTCAAGTGTTATACACTATACATATATACCTACGTGGACTGCACGTTAAAAGCCGACTACATGCTTATTATATATGCAATATGCATGGCTCCTAAGCATAGAAGGCTTCATATCGACGTCGTAAAGGATGTGAATATTTAATATTAAATATCAATTTAAAACATATGAATAAGAATAATGTATTAGCATTACCTATACAATTTTGTATTAAGAAATATTATCAATTCGATATCTGTAAAAAATGTAGAGTTAAATTTTTCGTACTTATTCACCAAAAATTGCGAATAGAAATTCTATTTCGAGAAAACTATATATGTTTACAGACCCCTTGTGTCCTATTGCAAGTATAGAAAACTAAGTTCTACAATTGATTTGACTTTTTAAAACAGAAAATATAGACTTATCTTTATTACATACATACATATATTTTATATATACTGACTTATAACTATTAGATTATGGGGCTTATCTATAGGTACATATAATAAAATTGTAACGGAGTCGAATCTATATATTAAATATTTTCTAGAAAATCTTACTGAAATAGTCATTATTATCGACACAGAGGCCGAATCTATAGTTTTAGGATTTTTTTGTCTGCCTGTCTGTATATGAAAGCATCACGAGAAAACCACTGGAAAGGTTTTGATGAAATTTGGTTATCCGGATACACATAGGATACTTTTATTGCGGGAAAATATCTCATCTCTGAATAAACTTTACTAACCCTTAAATCGAATCTAGGGACGAACCCAAGCGGAGCGAGGGGGAGTCGCTAGTAAAACTTATATATTATTTTCATGTGTAGGTACTTTAATTTTGTATTACTTATATTCGATGTATTTTTTCTAAGTTTTATTTAGACTAAGTTCAAGCAACCATTGTTTTGAAAGAAAAACACTTTTCATGTAGGGTCTCTTTAAAAGAAAACCAAAAAGCTTTGTTCAGTAATATCAAACAAAAGTTCAAAGAAAATAAACTAATTAATTAACAAACAATAGTAATTCCACCTGGATTCGTTAATTAAGGTAAATTTGTATCTCTTAATTACAATCTTAATATAGATACATACGTCAAAATATTGTAACAAATTAATTTAATGCTTTTTAGATGTTATGTTATCAAAGAATAATTAAAAATGTATAAAATTAGATGTTTTAGCACTTAAGCAATACTTTTTTAGATTTGCACGATTATTTGACATTTTAAAATAAACTAACTTTTTGAATTTTTTCGCGGATTTTATTTTGATTTTTGGTTCCCGACGTTTCGAATGCTTTACAGCCATCATGGTCACTGGAGAGACGTAAGGTTTTAGCCAAACCAACGTACCAAAACAAAATCCGTAAAAAAATCCGAAAAGATAGTCTTATATTTTAAAACGTTTTAATAAATATAGTATCAATTCATTACACCATTTGCATTGTATGACGTTAGCTAAACATATTTTCAAATTCAATAAAAAATAAAAAATAAAAATAAAAAAATAAATTCAAATCGTGATCTGATCTGAACTAAACTAACCTGTTAAAGTGCACATTCTTCGGCTGTTTATATCTTGCATCACTTGCCTCATGAGTCCGCTCAACGCCTTCGCGTCCCCTGACATCGACTGTTTGGACAGCCATTCTGTTTCTAACTCCATTGACAACTGACAACAAAATAATATCATTTTATACTAAGAACTATAATATAACTACTTAATTGTTACGTCTTTGTTTGTTGTAGGTCCAGATTATACAACAAATCCCACATATATCAAAAAGTGTTCAGAGATTCAGTGCTCAGCGTGAATATCTCTTTTTAAACCCATCAATTCTCAATCTCTACCGTGTGTTCTCCATTCTACATGATATTGACGAAGTAAATTGTGCCCGAATGACACGTCTATAAGCCAAAGAACATTGACAGAATATAACTAGCGTCTTACCCTCGGTTTGTTTGATTGCTTTGTTATGTACAAAATTGATAATTCCCTATGTGGAGAAGTTTCTCCACGTCATAGTCTAACTGAGTACTTTTCATCCAAATCCATTCAGCCGTTTTAAGCGTGACGGAGTAACAAACATACACACACGTACAAACTTTCGCACTAATAATCGTAGTATCACGATTGCACTTGTATTATTTAGGACGCCTAGTAAGTAGTGAGTACCATCATTCTATTAGTATCGATTATGAATAAATTTAAAAAATGAAATCGAGTTTATAGACTTTCCTCTTTTTTTAGGAATATTAGTGTTTTCCAATGGCTCCTACTGAATACTTTATTTAAGTATAATTGCACCGTTTCTAAAATGAAGGGTGATCTTAGATAGCCTATGAGTTTTCTCAAAAGCTAGGCTAGAAATTCCAAATAGGATCAGGAAGAAATAGACTGGCTTGATTTTTGCATAGCGATAGTTTGTGAGTTAGTGTGACATCCATACTTAATATTATTTTAAATAAACGTGAAAGTGTGTTTGTTTGTTTGTCTTTCTTTCGCATCGAAACGGAGTATCGGATTGGCGTGACATTTTGCGTGGAGATAGTTGGAGGGCTGGAGAGTTACATACTACTACTTTTTACCGGGGGATATTATCTAATTCCCACGGGAATACACATTAAAATACAATCCAAAAAAAAATTTATGATCGAAATTACTTGAAACTTGGTATTAATGCTCTTCAATAAAATTAAATAAATACGTGTTTTAGCATTTTTCAAAATTCATTCTATAAGGGGGTAAAATAGGGGATGAAAGTTTGTATGAAACTACCTTTTTTAGTGATTTTTTTCTAGTTTTACTAGTAGAAGTTTTTTTTGTCATCGTAATTATTGTTTTCTGCTAGTAAACAATAATTACGATGACAATAAAATCACGTATTTTTTTAACCTTTCGCTCAGAGGGATTGAAATCTGCAACTTATTGAAATACTGACGGTATTTAAAGCAGACATATTAATTTAATTTATATGTACAAAATAATAATTTAATTTATGTTACTTTGTGATAGTTTAACGTTACTTACTAGATATTCACTAAGTTTCTTTACTAACGGCTCTAAATGTACAGTTCTAGCCCAATCGTCACACACAAAGCACAAATTGAAATAATATGCGTTCCTTGCATATTTCTTGTTATCTATTTTCACAGGGAACCCTAAGATCTTTAATCCCAGGATTGTCCTGCAAAATGAAATAAATATGATAATTTCTTCAATAAACAATGGTTAATTTTATTGCTTTTTTATTATATTTTAAAAATATAACTGTTCAAATTACATGTAATAAATTCTTTATGCTGAATTTTATTTACATTCAAACTTGTACTCAATTGAAATTATCTATACATAATAAAAATATATTTAAAATAAATATTTACAGTTATTCTTATCTCAACATTTTGATTAACATAATTATTATACTTAATCTAAGAATAATATAAAAGATCTCATAACAGTAAATTCTTATTAACTTAAATTTAATTTATTCATAATTTGCTATTAAAATGTAATATTATAGAATTACATTTTTGTAATATTATAATATAATCAGATTTCACTAATCTACATAATATTTTTTAGATTATATCAATAAAATAATGTAAAATTTCAAAACACTGATGAATCTTCAGTTTATAGAGAAGAACTTGGATAAAGTGAGTACCTATTAAATTTTTTCACTGTCTTATTTCGAAATTCTTCAATATAACTATTCAGATTTAATATACTTTAGTTCAATGTTCCATATTTTACAGTAAGAATAAATATATTTTTAGTTTATTGTATTCTTATTTTATTTATATACATATCAAAACATGAAGTAATCTGAGCTAAATAGAGAGAGCTAATAGCCAACTGATTTATGATTACATTATGCAAATAATAACAGTAACAAAAAATATATTTTTGTATTTTCAAATAAATGTAAAATAATGTTCAAATTAAAATTATGTTAATATTTTCTTTATAGTACAAACAATAAAAACTATAACTTACACTGTCAATGTACACCTCTGCAATTGTACTTTAGGAATGATATAATGACTGACAGTATCAAATGTGTCTTTAGATATATAATTTTCGGGCACTTGATAGTTGATTCTAGGTCCAGCAGTTGGATGAAATTCACACAGAAAAATGCAACGAATAGGTCCTTCCTGTCCACATCCCTCGTAATATTTTGAGTTTCCATCCATCATGAATAGTTTAACTTCAACACATTCACAATATTGATATCTACATTCATTAGTCTTTAACAATAAAAACCCACTTAGTCGTTAATTCAAATTCTTTTAAAACTTGTTATTGTAACATTTCGTAAGTTAAGATACGAAATGAAATTCCAACAAGTGCACTTCTACCGCGAACGCTTGTAAAAACAGACTGACATTTTATTGTTGTTGTCACTTCCACAGTCCACTTGTCAGACTCATAAGTCATAAGTCATAAACGGACTCATTATTATTCTAGTGCTGCCATATTTTATTTTTTGATTTATGTGAAAATATCCACAGGAGGATCCATACTAAAATTATAAATGAGAAAGTGTTTGTTTGTTTATTTGTTTGTCCTTCTTTCAAAATAGAATGACGGATTGGCGTCATTATTGATATATAGGGAGTTGGAAGCCTGGGGAGGAACATAAGCTACTTTTACCATCTCGGGAGAGCATCTCATTCCTACGGGATAACACGTTATAATACAACCCAAAAAATATTTATGATCAGAATCACTTGAAACTTGGTTTTAATGCTCTTTACTTCAATTAATTAAATACGTATTATACCATTTTTCGAAATTAATCCCATAAGAGGTTATAAAAACTTAAAAAAAAATGTTGTTATTTTTTACATTTTAGTGCATGGAAGTCGTTTTTTTTTAAGTTTTTTTTTCATTTTCAGTGTAGACGTAATAAGCTGGTAATTTGTAAAAAGAAAGTTTTTTAATAACATTTTTTATTAAAAAAATCTTTAAAAAAATAGGTAATTTATTGCTCATTTTTAAAAAAATCCCTCGACCGATTTCGATAAAATTTATATGGGAATTATTTTTTTGTTTCAAAGACCACCTGGGAAGTGGTATACTTCCCAGGTGGTCTTTGAAACAAAAAAATACCAAATCGGTTCAGGCGTCTTCGAGTGATCGGTGAACAATGAACATACGTTAAAAAAGATTCCGACAAATTGAGAACCTCCTCTATTTTGGAAGTCGGCAAAAAATAGGGCATGAAAGTTTGTATGAAACCTACCTTTTTATTTTATTTTGTAGTTTTGGCGCGAGCCAAGCCGCGAGTTCTGTTAGTATAGACATGAAAGTATCAATTTGTAATTAGACAAAAACTGATTAATATATACAAATCAATGAATTTGAATTTGAGATTTTTAAAGAGGATTTAAAATTATTCTTAATAATTTTAATTAGTTTCCAAAGTATGTTTTCCTTCCACAATAGAATAAAGATTAATTTAAAAAATTGATAGCTACTAGAACTTTTTTTTTCAAATAATTTGTGTAACCTAAGAAAAAAGAACTTAGGGACATCTTGAACTTGGCCATTCAATTAAAAATTAGAATAAGACTTGCAATACCAAATGAAATCTGTCACTTGTCAGTTATCAACTCATCACATTAATAAACTTAAACAAAAACAATCTTTCAAAGATAAAAAAATGTGTAGTGATAACAGAAAACATCATTAATTTTTATATAAACACAAATTATTATGGATATTTATACATTTAGAGTACTTATTGGTGTAACAGGAAGTGTAGCTACAATAAAATTACCTGTACTAATCAAATCTTTATTGGACTCGAACTTATCCAATCAAAAGATAATTTTTGAGGTTAGCTTTACTTATTACTTCAAAACTAAATCCTTCTATTTCTAAATTTAAACTATTCTAACATATATTGATTTTTCAAATGATGATTTAAAATGACATACAAAATAAATTTTAAATAATAAGCAATTTCTATTTTTAGATATCCACAATATGTACAGAGCATTCAAAACATTTTTTTCGAAAAGACGACTTACCGCCAAAAATTTCTTTGTACGATGATGCATCTGAATGGGATAGTTGGAAAAATAGGGGTGACCCTGTAATACATATTGACCTTGGAAAATGGGCAGACTTGATGGTCATAGCCCCTTTAGATGCCAATACTTTAGCTAAAATATCACAGGTATAACAGTCTTATTAGTTAACAGAAAACACCACTTAGATGTACTTCTATGTATGCACAGTTAGGGAATGCAATCTTGATACGAGATCGCTAAGTCGAGATTTCAAGGGATCAGAAATTCGATCTCTGCGAGATCTCAGCATTTTCGAGATCTCGAATGGATTTCGAAAAGTATTGTTTTAAATTAGATAACTGAAACATGATAGAATCTGCTTAGTAGTTGTGATTATGATGCGAGTAAGATACAACATGAATTATTGAAAAAATGGCTTTGTTTTTTCAATTTTTTACTTATGTTGTATTAATGAACACAAAAATTCAGATCCGTAAAATCTCTTATAAAGAAAGTACTTATTTTAACAAAGTTAGCAATAGTGAAAACAAAAACGATGGGTGTCAATAACCTAAGTAATTTCCCCTATATATCACGGAAAATTAAATAATTTCACAGAACACTATTATTATTATTTTTTAATTTTAGACTATACACTCTGCGCGTTGTAGATAATATTTATTACCTTTCACAATTATTTTCATATTCATTTATAGTTTGAAGTAGGCTATTATGGAGATTTTGTACTTAAACTCAACACTATTTTTTATATATTTTTTACATCAGCGCAATTATCCAACGATTTGTCTTTTACATATATGACGTAGTATAGTGTAAACAATAATATATATAAATATAAAAGTGTTGGTCTAGTGCGCTCATATGATGGGCAATGGGCAAACATACATACTTAAATCTAAGCGGTATTTGCCGAGCGTGATTTGCGATGATATAATCTGTATTCAATATTATTATTTAATAAATATAATAATTACTGCTTTTTTCCATCAGTGTGTGGGTGGCACTGCCAGTGTAGGTAAAGTAGTCACTGATCGAGCCACACGTTTTACGCTAATTTTGTTTTCTATACATATAATAAAATTGTAACTAAGCCGAATCTGTACATTAAATATTTTTTGGAAAAACTTATTGAAATAGTCTTTACTATCGACACAGGCCGAATCTATAGTTTTTAGAATTTTTGTCTGTCTATCTGTTACCGCTTCACAAAAGAACCGCTGGAGGGATTTTGATGAAATTTGGTATAGTGATATCTGGTTATCCGGGTCAACATATAGGATACTTTTCACCGCGGGAAAATAAAATAAACTAGGAGTGATAATGAACAAACAAGTGCCTGCACGCACTCGAATATCTTCCGCTCACTTACTCTAGTCAGTACTATATCACTTATTCTTTTCTATTCCGCTCGCCCAACATCATGAATACTCGGGAATAGTCGGGATAGTTTGCGTATGCAATAAGCAGTTCGACACTTTCCTTCGCCAGTCAGCGCCGACGGCGACTCGCTCGCGCGCAGATAACACGTGTCATGTGTCGCTGACTACCAACGACCACTTAGCTGAGTGGTCGTTGCTGACTACTGACGCTCTATCTCGTCAATCTCGGCCGAGATCATTTTATGCTTCGAGATTGATCTCGAAAAATGAGGCGAGATCTTGATGATCGGGATCTCGCGAGATCGACGTTGCATTCCCTACGCACTGTACTTAATTCACTAATAATACTTATTATGAAAACTTTAATAAAAATTTGTTTATTAATTTAATTCTAATAAGACTAATCATTTTACTAATAAAAATGATTATAAGTAGCTCAAAAAATATTTATATTATTTTTAGGGTATTTGTGACAATTTATTAACTTGTACAGTCCGAGCCTGGGATTCGTCAAAACCACTATTATTCTGTCCTGCAATGAACACAAGAATGTGGAACCATCCTATAACACCTAAACAGATAGGCATTTTGAAAGAGTGTGGTTATGAAGAAATTCCACCTATAAGTAAGACTTTGATGTGTGGTGATACCGGTGTAGGGGCTATGGCTGAAGTTGACTCCATAATAAAAAGAATAAAAGAAATTGCTGAAAAGAAATATACGGACAAGATAAATAATACAAAGACAGTTTAATAAGATTTATAAAAATGTTTATTAACAATTATTATTGAAAGCAATTTCTATATAGCAAATTTTATTTACTTATGTTAAAAAAGACTGGAAATATTAAGAAATGATAGACATTTTATATTTTTAAAGATTGTTATAAATAAAAGTCAGTAATAAATGTAAATGTATGTTTATTGCATCACTGAATACTGTATCTAAAGCTAGCGTACATGCAACCAACGAAATTAACTCATGTACACTACACATACAAAACTATACAGATGAAACACTATCTAGTAAAATTGTATTTTATAAAAGCAATTATTTGTTATAGATGTTTGTCCGAACCACAAGCAGTTTGCTTGATGGAATTTTCACCAATATATGAAAAAGCAGAAGCTTAAACATTAATTTTCCTATTTCTAAGCTTAAAAATGGTAAACTTTTTTTAATTTACTCCCTTTAGGGGAAGAATTTTCATGTCCCTCACATATAAGGATTTTTTGGTGACTTAAATTGCATTGTCAGCCAGTTGCTATTAGAGATTTATTAAGTAGATGAAAAATGCTGTATTTATAATAAAAATAAATTTGCACTTTTTAAAATTTAATACTGTGAATTTAAAAATAACTGATTTCAGACAGATTCTTAATGGGGTTCAATATTTTTCTGCTCAACATCTATAACAAAAAATTGCTTTAAATAATAATAACATTAAAATTCTTTATAAGAATCATTAAAATTATGAATATCAAAGATTACATTGGACATACAATTTAAAAATGATCTCCCCCTAACATTATTGTTTCAAACGAACCCTGTAGCTAGAACTGTGTGGAAACCAACAATTTAATAACACACCAAACGTTTTAATTTAAAAGTGCAGAAAGCACCTTAATCGGAGATAATAGTGTTTGATATCTGACATAAATATAACATATTACACGAGATGTTATAAAAATACACTGAACAAAATAGATAGGTATGTATGTTCTTAATCAATTTAATAATACATATTATATATATAAATATTACATATAATAATATATGTATGATTGGGAAAGATGTTAAATAATCTGAGATATGTGGAGGAAGTTTGAGGCATTGTTTGTGCCAAATCAAGGAAGTATAACTTAACCGTTACTAGCCAAGTTCTGTAAAAGAGACATAAAATCCTACTGTGCCCCAATCAAAGGCCATATTTTAAAAATATAGAAAAATATTATTAAAAAACCCGCTGCAATATATACATATTTATATGTAATAGCCTAGATATCAAATACCATGTTCTCACTTTTAAAACCAGAGTGCTTAATAATAAAAATAATATATTATTTCAATTACATTACAAGATTCAATGCGTTAAACTGATTCAGAATAACTATATTTAACATAAAATCTGAATCTCAAGCATCTTGAGTGTAGGAAATGATAAAAATACTATATTTACAGTTTTTTTAATATATATGTATAAAAAAAATCATTCAAAATTATTTACAAATGAACAAAAATGAACTAAACGAATCAGATCGTATTGATAAATTAATTACAATAAAATAATATAAACTTTAATAAGACAGATCTATGAACTTATAAGCTATGGAATTTGTCATGTAGTGTGTGGAATAATTAGTACTACATAATATGAAGACAGAAGAAGTGAAGCAATATGTATATGAAGGGTACAAGCAAAGAACTGGGAATGTTATAATATTGGTCTTTTTTTTGTACTGGTAATAAATCTATGTACCATATACCATACCACTACCATAGAGTACTTGCATTCCCAACCACAGATTTTTACAAATACATAACGGCTGTCGCTAAAAATACGTTTTTATCTATGCCCAAAGCGAAAGTAAGTGGGAATGTCCATGACGTACCAGTAAAGGAGGTTGGTCCAAAAATGTACATAGTTAAAAGCTACTGCATATTTTGATTTCAATAAAAATATTATAATTTTTAAACTTTAAATAGCTTTTTCTTTTCATAATATATTAATTAGGAGTTCTTTGCCTGTACCCTTTATACAAACTGGTACATTTTGATCAATATCTGGTTATTATTTCAAACTCAGACTAAAAAGATAAATCAGATACAAAGTAAATACAACATTGGACTGTAATATTATACTTATTTGCTAGATAACGGTTCTATCCAGTGTTCAATAACCGCTATCTGGAGTTTGGCTTCATTTTATATCATCATTCTAATAATACATTCCTAGATTTACGTGAATATTTGACAAAAATGTCAAAAATAAAATAAAACTATCTTTTCGAGTTTTTTCGCTTTTTATTTTTGATTCCCGACGTTTCAGATGCTTTACAGCAAACATAGTCACGGGAGTCTCTTCCGATTTCGAAAAGATAGTTTTATTAAAAATATTCTCATTCTTTTAATCTGAGCTAATATTAATAATTTAAACTCCTATAATTATGACGGTTTAATTTCGAATACAACCAGACATTGTCAAAACCAAGCCGAATAATATAAATTACAAAATGACGCAAATCGTTTCTAATTATCACAATTAATTAAATCTTATTTAATTTATTAAATGCATTACATATATTTATAGCCAATGACCAAATAGCCAACTTAATTATAACAATGCAATACATAGATACATGCAAATAATTAGATGTTTGAACTTTATTGGTATAAAATAAATAATATATCTATAAGGAATCCTTACTGTTAGTAGCCTATGGTAATACGATTATAAACGTGTAAAAATTACATGGATCATACAAAAATTCCATTTTATATCAATAATTTGGTTTACCGAAGTTGTGGTGCCTCGTTTTAGTTCGGTTATCCGAACTCACCGTTACATACGGTTAACTAAATAATTGTATCGGACAACCGAATTATCGAGATTATTTCGGTTAGTCGAATAAACACCGAATCATTGATAAAAAATGCAGAAAGTCGTTCAAAATTGTGCGTATATATTAAAAGGCCATTTTCATCTAGCGGTTCTACTTGTTCGTGTCTATCCCGTGCGCAAACGAGACGGTTTTGTGCCCTTTTTTTAAAAAATGTAAGCGTTTGTAAACAAATAAAAAAACTTTTGTATATTTTAGCAAAATATTAAGTGGAATGAATCGCGGGCGTATCAAACGTGTAATATTGTTTTATCAAAATAGCTCGACGGCAGTTCGGTAAATACATCACAGTGTCGACAATACCTTAATATAAAAAAAAAACAAGTCTATTAATGTTTATTTGTCTTTTGACTATTTAAAGCTAATTTATCACTTAATCGCGCAAATAATGTAATTATTACTATTTATATTTCGATTAAGTCATCCATTAGCAATATAAGTTCGAGCGCTGTAATAAAAAGGCATATCTCGAAACGTTTCAAATTCACTGTATATTACGAGTTGTACCAATATTATTTTAATTACGAATTAAACGACAGTTTCGTTTTGTTTATCGAACATAGCTCTAGTGTATTTGGATATCACTTCATACGTAGACTTTATGAGTTCGCAGCGTTCCTCCACCTCGTAGTCAGATGGCGCAACTTTGTACGTAGATTTCTTTTTAGGAATCTCAGTGGGAAAATCAATATTGTCTTCAATATTGTATACGGATATTGGTTTCTTGTGTACCATTTCTAGATCCTTGCGTTTCTTTTTGGTGAAGAATCCGCATTTCGCGTTGATTGATAGCACGGCATTTTGTACTGAAAAATCCAGCGGTTCGCTGGATTCTTCATATCATACGTCTAACTCTTCCAGCCCTTTGGACAGTCTGTGGGAGTTAATCCTGCGTCTGTGAGATCGTCGGACGGCGTCTGCACGACGGTAGGGCTCGCTTCGGAGTCCATGCAGTATGTCCTCTAGAGCACCGTTGTACACTTCGTCTTGGTGAAGGAGTTTCTTTTCTACGGCCTGCGATTTCGTTTTTAATTCGTTGATTACAGCCTCCTGGTTTTTTGAAAAACAAAATTACATTTTAATTATTTGATATTGTGAATTACGTATATTAAAATTTGCTTGCGTTAGCGTATTTTATAAAGATTCATATTGTTTTCTACGATACAAGATATAAAATAAAAATCATGGGAAACCTAATAGCAATTATCGTGAAAATTTACCATTTATTATACTGTGGTTATAGTTGAATATACGGTAAGGAAAGTTTCTATATACAAGTATAATTATAATCTACTGGACTAGTGAGAAAAATGAAAAGGGTCTACTAAGAAGAGAAAACTAATTTCTAAATAGTAATAAGTAATACTTTCTTATATTTACGCGAATATTTGACACAGTAATAAAACTATTTTTACGAATCTCTTTGAGTTTTATTTTATTTATGTTTCTAAAGTTTTGTATGCTTAACAGTAAACATGGTCACACCTGAGAGACTTGTTTGACGTCACAATTTTATGGTCATTTAAGATAGTGTCTAATTATACAATAACTTGAAAAAAAAGAGAGACGTAATACTTATAATTTAAAAAAAATGAATAAGGTTTGCTATAGTTAAGAATTAATATAACGAAACATCCGTAAAAAATAGTTTTACTACAATTATACTATGTAATAAGTTTCTATATATACACTTGAACAACATAATAACAATAAAGCATATCTAAGAAATAAAGAGTTGAGCAAATAAAAAAAAACTGCTTATGAAAATGCACGCATTCTACATTACATCAAGAGCTTATTAAGCTTTTAGTACTGTCAGCAAAAAAAATTGACAATTTTAATTCAATTTTATAAGCAATCTGATTAAAACACATGCCCTGTTAGTTCCATGCAATGTGCAGCGTAGGGAAAAAACATACATATATTATACATAATACGCATAAAAAGGACGTCAAAGGCTTAAAAATAGTTTGTTATTTGAAAAATAAATGTAACATTTTGTATAATAACGCCCTTAATTATTAATTTATTCGCCTCATTTCTTATACATAATATTATCTAAAAACGTCACTTTATACTAACAGAATGTTTAATAACCGGGAGCCTGCGGGATACAAAATTAAAATACATAATAATAAATGTAGCTGTTATAAATAAATATAAAAAACAAAAAAAATATCATAAAATAATGCCGAAAATACTTTAAAAAATAATGTATGAATTAATGTTATAGCATTTCTTAATGTTGTCAGCCTTAAGTACAAAATGGACTACGAGTATTCTATTTAAGTAATTAAAAAAAAAACTGTAGGCATATATATATATATGTATATATATATATATGTATATATATAATCTAATATTTACTAAAATACGTACCTTTGCAGGGGCTTTAATCAATTCTTTAATCTAAGATCCATTTTTTTTAGTTTTTATTTTTCTTTATAGCAGTTGGCGTGCAAAAGTCTCTATCTATATGAATAAGATAATTTTATGTAATTGGAAAATACTTTTAAGTGTTTTTACACTAACAAAAAATCTTTCCTCTTTATAATATTGGTATAGATGTACATTGTAGTGTATGTTCTTTTGGAGAATCGAAAAGTGCTCATTTTTAATTATAAAATGACAAAATTGAAGATAAAATTATATACCTGTTTGCATTTATTTTGTATTTAAACCAAAAAACCAAACTGACCAAATTTTGTAGATAAAAGAGTTGAGTCAATCAGTCATACTCGCACTTAGCATACTTTTAATAAAATAATAACCTGTCTACTAAATATACATATTATTATAATCTTTGTTAGATGACGGGGCGGAGTTTATTTTTTCGTGGGATGTGCTTCGTTAACATATTTTAAAACCTTCCAAGTGTTTTTAAATTCGTGTCATGCGCGATGCCAATTGTTTTAATAACCTTTGTTAGTAACTAGAGCTTTGAATCCGATTATTAATTTGTATTAAATTGGTGTTTAAATGTACTTTATATTACGAAAATAAAAATAAATTTATTATTATTATTTTTAATATTATATCTATATACATATTGTATATCAATATTAAAATTGTATTGTTAAATTAAAATTCAAAGTTAGATAATAAAATTTTATATTAAACACCAATAAAATAAAAAAAAAAGCTAATTCCTCATTAAACCCCATGTTATGTTAGTACACACAAAAAGTGCCGTAATCGTTAAATTTTCATTGATCATGTTAGGACTAAAACAATGGACCAAACCGGACTGAACCGGTCATGAGTTAGTAAACACACAAAACCCCCCCGTTTAATAACATCCTACTTACTCCTAGTTTTCTAGGAGATCTGGACTAGACCGGACTAGAATGTTCTAGATCGGGCTAGGCTAGGCTAAATCCGGACTGTGCCTCAACTGAGACAAATGTTGCTGCAATAGACCTGCGCTGACGGCCGCGTAGTTAAACCTCTGTGAGAATTGTATGATTTTACCATCACCGCTACTTTTTTGTATAAATATGGCAACATTTTTAATACCATATAAAAAAATCAAAAATAGTTTATATGTCAGAAGATATTTTTAATGTTGCCACATTCACACTATGAATAAGTAAAAAAAAAACGTAAATCCAGCACCGTGTTAACTGATCTAAAATTCACTCAGTAATATGGCGATAATAATTAATTTTATTATCGAAAACTGTAAATAATGAGATGGGTTAAATATAACTAAATACTTTCAAAATTAATCCAAACAAATGACGTGAGCAAATAATTCTAAATAAATAATTATTTTTTAGAAATAAATATTAGAAACTAATGTAGTGAAAGCATTTAGTTTAAAAAAAATATATTAGAAAAATATATTAGTAGTAAAAAGTGAGAAGAACTCAACAACTCTAGCTTTTAATTTTCAAACCCCTTAAAAAATATTTAATACATTTTTAAGGGCATTACTCTATTATTTTCGATTAAATCTAGATGTTGCTAGGTTCACAAAAGAAGTATCGAGTCTACAGATAATAAAATCAAAATGATATGCAACTCAAGACTACTAAAAACGCACGACTCCATTCACCACTGAAGCAATACAAAGAGCTATTGTTAAGCGCTAATTGAAAATGCTATACGCCCTACGTACAAAATAATTTGATATTTTTATTTATTGAATAAAGTACGAAAAAAATGCGATTGGTAACATCGACATAAAATTTATATGCATTAAAAAAACAATAATATAGATTTTAAAAAGTAAGCAAATTGTTTAACTGTTAAATAAGAAAATGATTAACATAATCGAATAAATCAGTATAGTCAAAGTTATAGTGTAGTATAAGTCCTAATGTTATAACGATCCTATTTCGTAGCATTAGTCATAATATCGAGCTTATTCATTCAGTTAGGGAGTGAACGATTATGAATTTAATTTAAAAACAATTTCAAAATGTATGTTGAACTAATCGATTATTTATATAATCGAGTTCCGAAATTTTTATAAGTACATATTATTCTTATATATTTTATCGATACTAATCATTCACAATCGTCCAATCAATATCACATAACACACATCGATATAGACAGACGCACTCGCACTTGTCAGAGTTTGCATACATCTATGTATATACATATTGTATGATTGTGTGTATGTAAGTATTACCTGTTGTTTCTTCTGCACGAGCTTAGCCTTATTGGGGTCGAGATTGTCTGCATGTGCCGCTTGCTCAAGCCTCCGACGTTGTTCGTTTTCCATGTCCGCTTGCTATACAAATATACGATCATTAGTAAATTAATTTTGGTCAAATTATATATTACATTTTTATATTTTTATTTTAGTGATTATATCGAAAAATAAGAAATTCAACCCTGTAGGGGGTTGAATTTTCCAAAACTCCTTTCTTAATGGAATCTTTCTCATCTTTATCTTTCTCATCATTTATCAACCTGCCTTCAATTGTACCATCGATACTTTCCGAAACTTCAAAATTAATCAGTGAGTCGTACTTCTCTGTTACATCTGCGCGGCTTCGCTTACTCAGTACACACATGTTGGCAAAAAAAATATATGGAGAGGGATAAATGCGATAGTGTGAATTAGTCTTTGTAGGACTAATTCACACTATCACATTCTTATAGTTATTTACCTTGACGACACGTTTGGCTCAGTTTGTAGTAAACCTACTTGCTGTGACAGCGATCGCGGGGTCGAGTCCCGCTGGGGGCATTCATTAGTTTGATGAGCACGAATGTTTGTACTTCAATCATGGGTGTTTATATTTATAATATATACTCGTATATGAATTTAAAATTATATATGTGTAGTGTATCAACTATCTAGCATCCATAACATAGGCCTCGTAGCTTACCATGGAATTAGATGGTGCTGTGTGTTATTGTCCCAACATATTCATTTATTTACCTTAAAAGCCCTCGTAAACCGTACGAGCAGTGAGAAGAAGGCGTTGGCGTCGCAACTGCGCGGGGCCTCGCCGAAGTATTCCACGCACGCCGCAAAAGAGTCCTGTGAAGAATATAATGAAATAATTAAAAACTTTAAATTATTGCATGCCTTACTTTTTGTTAAATAATATTCCATCTGTATCTTCTAACATATAAATATCTAGTGTCACTGTGTTTGTGGTCGCAATCCTCCAAAACGGCTCGACCGATTTTAATGTTTTTAAAATGTTCAAATGAGCCCTCATTTGGTGAGGACATTTCTTATCGCTGATTGTGTACCTTATACTTTTTTGATCAATGTTCCCGCCAATAAAAAAAAATGGGTGCGTGTAACCTTTACGCGCGATTGAAGTAAGACTTCTTTGGAAAATATCGCAAAATTTTTTTAAACAAATCTATAATTAAATAAGGCATATGATAATCATGTATTTAAAGAATATCAGAAGCGAAAAAAATATAATATTATACATCATTTGTCAGACAATAATAACGGTTACCATGGCAACAAACGTACACACATTTTTTCATTCACCAATTAAACCCCTAAGTTAAACCCCTAAGTCTAGCGTGCGTAAAGAAGTTTTACCTCCAAAATATTTAATGTACAGTATGTATAAATAATCATATTGATGTAGGTACATGAAAATGAAAGCATGCAAGTATCTATATTTGGATGGCAAAAATATTTTGCTAGAACAGTAAGAAAGCAAATCATAGAGAATCAATAAAAAAATATATCCTTATATTTATATTACTTTCGATAGAATTAAAAAAAAGGATAAATATTTTTTAGCTTCGCGTCCGGTTATATTACTGGGCGCTGCTGAGCACGACAGGTTGCGCACGTTGGGGGGATATCAGCTTCTCCCAAGTCAAGTGTGCGTAAAGAAGTTTGACTTCACTACAATAACGGCGAGGACAAGTGCGCGGTACCTGCGCCAGCTTGGCCTCGGCGCGCAGCCGGCGCAGCTTGTCGGCGGCGTTGGCCACGAAGTCGCGCAGCACGTGCGCCGCGCCGCCGCGCGCCTCCGCCTCGCGCCGCGCCGCCTCCATGCCGCGCTCCAGCTCGCACGCGTCCGCCGTCAGGTTCTCCAGCGACACTGCGCACACCACAACACACATACTTATTGATCATACTATCTTACATTTACGCGAATATTCGACATCTATCTATACTAATATTATAAAAAGGTACAGTTTGTGACGTTATAAGGGGTAATCTCTGGATCTACTGAACCGATTTAAATGAAAGGTATGAATATAGTTTGAGATCCTGGGAAGGACAAAGGATACTTTTTATCCCGGAAATCGTCCCTTAAAGGGGTGGAAATGGGGATGAACGTTTTTATGGGGAATCAAGCTAGGGACGACCCCGAGCGAAGCAAGGATGAGTCGCTAGTTGTTCATACTTTCATTTACATTTACGCGAATATTTGACATTTGAAATAAAACTACCTTTTAGGATTTTCTGCGAACTTAGACTATATCTCTCCCGTGACCATTGCTGTAAAGCATTCGAAACGTTGGGAATCAAAAATCAAAATAAATCCGCGAAAAAATTCAAAAAGATAGTTTTTTTAGTTATTGTTGCTTACTACTCATCATGAATGTCAATAGATGACGTTACACGTTACGGTTTGTTATTAAAGTTGTGTTAAATTAACAAAAGATAAAGAAATAGATCCCAAAAACACATATTATGGTTTTAAAAAATAGTCTAAGTGAAGGGAAATGAAATAATGCGTGTGTAAATCAAATTTGCGTAATTTTACTGATTACTGAAATATCAGCAATCAGATGATAGGTTTGTAATGAATATTCACACTTCACATATGGCGCTTTTGCTTTTTATGAGTTGTTTATCACTGTTGAAAATTGTTAAAAATCACTGAAATTCGTTTAATCGAATGTAGGATGAATTTTACAATATTTACCATACGTTAGTTTGCACCTATTTTATAAAATAAAATAGTCCAAACATTTGCGAATCGACGACATCTATTATCTATTCAAGCAAACAAAAATAGCCCAAATTAGCGCTGTCCAATTTTTTTGGATGGGATGAGGCATCTGTACTGCTGAACGAATTTTGATGACAATTTACAGTACATTCATAATCAAATGATTCATTCATAAACGAATTCATAAACGAATGATTTTGTTTTCCTTTATTTTGCCCTTTCATAGCGAAAAAACTGATGATATTATAATACAAATAATTATACAAATACTTATAGTATGAGCCATGTATGAAAAGTTGCACTTGTATAAAAATTAGTACTAAAACTATAGTTTATTTTACCAAACATATTTCTCAAGAAAATAACCTAAAAAAAAAACAATATCTTAACCGATACACGACATACCTTGTGCAGCCTTATCAATGTACATGAGTTCTGTATCGAAATTCATCAGCTCGGGGAAGTTTTGCCTGATGGTAGCCACTATGTAGTGCAGGAGCGAGACTCGCTTGTCCGTCGACTTCGTATCCATCAGAGTATCTAACGACTGCAACTTAAAACCGTACGCCGGACCACGTTTGCTACTATTCAAATAATTCCCAAAAGCTAAAATAATTTCCAGAACGTTCCTTAACTTCTGGGAAGATTTGACTGATGACGATGCCGATATTATAGCGTGTACTTGGGGCGTGATCAAATGTATATTGTCGTAGAAGTTGCCCATATAACTCATTATAGACAGTTTAGCTGAGATTCTTTCCACTTTGGCTAGTTGCATTAGGAATTTATCCTCTTCGGTCAATTGGTTTATATTTTTCTTTTCCGAAACGTATTCTTTGTAGGCTTTTTGTTCTGCTTCTGTTGGTACCATTCTTTGTAGGATTTCGACGCTCTCGAGCGGTAGCTGTTTCAGGTCTAGAGTTTGGATCGCTGATATGACTTTTTCTACTGGCGTGTCGAGTTTTCTTCGGGATATTGCTGAAAAATAATATTTAATAAAGGTTAAAACGAAGTAATAATATTTTTAGTCTTGGTTATAAGACGTTGTATGACTTTCATGCAATAAAGATATTCATACTCGTATATTATACACTACATCTATACATACAATAAAATTGTAACTCGAATCTGTACATTAAATATGCTTTTTTGGAAAATCTTATTGAAATTATTATCGATACGGAGGCTTAATCTATAGTTTTTATAATTTTTGTTTGTCTGTGTGTATGGGAACGCTTTATAAGAAAACCACTGGATAGATTTTGATGTAATTTGGTATGAAGATAGCTGGTTAATCGGATCGAAGATATAGGACACTTTTTACTGCGGGAAAATATATCATATCTGAGAAAGCTATACTAAACTTTAAAACACGACTAGGAATGAACCTTGAAGCGGAACGAGGGTGAGTTGCTTGTATGTAATATATGCAACATTTATGTAGGTCAGGTATATCACCTACACATTCATGCGTCTCTGGTAGGTACATATGGTCATGCACCCTTGGTACCTATGTAGCGGAAGCGCGCGAGCTCCAGCAATGGGCCGCCCGTATTCCACTCCAGCTGGATCTCTCATTATCTATTACTATTCGCATGTCCGAGAGAACCTTAACAATTTTACAAAAAGACTTCCTCAATCCGCCAATCCGCACTCGGCCAACGTGGCGGACTATGATCTGATTCTCCCCGCAATGAAGGGAGGCCCACCCCAGCAGTCGTACGTAATAAGAGTTGAATACACATTGTCCAGTGGAAGTTTTTTTGTATTTTAGTGGGTAGTACTGGCTTTTCTAGCCGGTAGAGTCCCACATAACCACCTGTATGTCTACAGGTGGTATACGTAAATGCATTTCCCAACACAAAAAAACGCGTACGTCTCCGGACGCCCAACAAAAGTGATAACTTAAACCAATCTAAGGTAGACTATTTAATATTGAAATTGTAAAATTTTATGTATATTAATATGATAATGTATGGAAAGGTTATTTTAATAAAATCTTTTGTGGATTATAAAATATATTTATTCTATATACATGTATACGGCTAGCGCCGTGGGTTAGAGCGAGATAGGAGGAGCCTGCCTACCGCTGCCGTATGCGTGAGAGAAAGGGAAACCAGACCGACTGGCGCCGTAACGCGTTACGTAACAAAGCGGTTTACCCTCCCATAAGTTACCACTTCAAAAAAAAAGCACTCCCCCCACTACCTACCAATGTTGCGCAGGCGCGCGTGCTCCAGCAGCGACACGGTGTCGGGGCGGCGGAAGCGCTTGCTGGGGAAGGAGGCGAGCGCGTCGTCGGGCTCGCGCGCCGCGCCGCCGCCGCCGCCGATGCGGAACTTCTCCTCGAACTCCGCGAAGTTGATGCGCCGCCGCGGACGCTCCTCGTCCAGCTCGTTGAATATCGTACCTCGCACCTGTTTAGTGTTAACATATTATTCAAAGTATAAGTAAAAGTAGTGTACTATCACCATGTTTGAGAATGACACAACAGGGAATATGCGGGTGAGTTACATAAAGGTGAAATATTATTTTTGAAGTAAAACTTCTTTACGCACGCTTGACCTGGGGAGTATCGTTGTTATGGTCTGACAAATAATATATAATATAATATTCTTTCCTTAAATGATATTCTATAAATATATGATTGTAACATGTCTATATGCGTTATTTAATTATTTTTATTAAAATAATGAAAATAATGAACAAAAATAAAAAATCTTTTCAAAAATATTAATATATGTACATACAATATACATACACACATTATACATTGTGTCGTCATTTCTCTGTATATATACCGTATTGTGACGTCACGCCAAGCGCGCGAAATGGCAAGCGTTTAAACTATCCGTGACGGTATGATATAAAAAATATAAATACTATATTTTAGTTTTTTGAAGCTGGATTTTTTTTTCTTATATAATGATATATGCTATTATATATAAAAAAACATGCATATTCCCTATTACAATAAACACATTGTAGTGTACAAATTAAACACTAAACACAAAATTAGATTACGCTAGTGTTATATCCCAGAGAATTCCTAAACTTGCGACCACATTTTTATTCCTATATATTCACAACTTACTTACGATGTACATATATAATATATACAGATCCCATAAAAATATCTAACATTAACAATTAAAAAAAAAATAATTAAAGAGTGCGTGTATGAATGTACACGCGCAAAAAGTAAAACTTCTATAGGTTATCGCCATCGGTACTCTTTATAAAATTCAGATTAGAAAAATAACGCATAATAGGCATATCACAATCATATATTTATAGAATATCATTAAAGGAAACAATATAATATTACATATCATTTGTCAGACAATAACAACGGTTACCATGGCAACAAACGTTCGTCTCGCCCGTAACGTTACACTTTTCGTAACGCATTCACCAGCTTAAAGCACTTCAGCATGCGTAAATAAGTTTTACTTACAAAAAAAAAAGAAACAAACCTGATTCGGTTTCAGCGCGATCCAATTAAGCGTGGGCAATTTGTACTTGGTGTCGACTTTTCTCTTGATCGTCATCGCGTCCGTGTGGTGCGGGGGCGCCATGAGGCCGGGGGCGGGCGGGGCGGGCGGAGCCGGCGGGGCGGGCGGCGCCGGCGGGGCGGGCGGCGGCGGCGGCAGCAGCGGGGCGGGCGGCGGCGGGGGCGGCAGCGGGGCGGGCGGGGGCAGCGTGAGCTCGGGCGGCGGGGGCGGCGCCGGCAGCGTGTGGGCGTCCCCGTTCATGAGGGGCGGGGAGATGTGCCCATTCACTGTGCCGTTGCACAGCGTGTGTGCGGATATGGCACCCACTGGAGAGTAAATACCATTTAAAATTAGTAACCACTAGCGTCCGAACCGATCCCACGGGATCCGTACATTTTACCGGGATAAAACCTATGTGCTATTCAAAACTATAATCTATCCCTGTGTCAAATTTTATACGGATCTGTTCAACCGTTCTGGCGTGAAAGAGTAACGAACAAACATTCTTCCATCCATCCTCAGAAACTTTCACATTTGTAATATTAGTAGAATTGATAGCTTGTTAACTAACAAAGAAAAATCACATTATCAGATTAATATCATAAATGTATAAGTTTGTATGTATGTTACTCCGTCATGCTGTAAGGGCTGGACGGATTTGGATGAATACAAGATAGATTACGTACGACCTCCAGTAAAATCGGGGCTACTTAGTTAGGCAAGTATTAAAAATGGCCAAAGGCCTGCATATAAGCACAAAAGGCATAGAGGAACGCACCCGAGCAAAGCGTGGATGAGTTGCTAGTGTTTTATATAACACATATTATTTTCTATATAACTTCTCAGCATAATATTTAAATATATATACTATTCTTAATTCTCACAATTACAGAAAAAAAAGATATAATTATCAGAACGTAACATAAGTTTAGGTCAAACTGATAACATCAGACAGTCAAAGTTTAGCCTATATTATTTTTAATTTGATAATTCAAAACAATTCTTAGAAATATGAAAGATATCAAAAAAATAAGAAAAAAAGTGTAGATAATGTAAATATAATTTATGTCATAACGCAATGAAATAAGCAATAGTTTTCAACACGTTAATTAAAGTAAGTACCTATATTTAAAAAAAACTAAAATATATTTAGAGATTGCGCAGAGGCAATATCGTAACGTAACCAATGAGGTTACTTTGCCGCGATCATTGCTAGTTCAGCCCAAAATATAAACCAATTCAAAAATAGATTAGATTACTCATTACTCACTAGAAGCACCGCGTGGCAAGGATTTAGTGAGAGTTTCCAACTCCTGCACTTTGGACTCCAACATGGACTGTCGGTTGCGAGAGTCTTGCTGAGCTCGCCGTAATGTTGACACCTTGAAATTGCACACAAATATACAAATTTTAATACGTCTTAATTATGATTTATTTAACCAAAAAATATTAACTTTAAATTATTATTTTGTTAAATGTAAAAAAATAGGAGCATTTATTTTATTATTATGTAATAGTATCAAGTATAATAATTTTAATTAAATTATAGCATTATATAAACAGATACTATCTGTTAATTTGATATTCTGTTTTTGCAGTTGTGAATATATTTATATATAACCCCTTTAATATCAAAAGCGAATACCTGTTGTATGGATTTTATATGCTGCTAAAACCTAAGTAGTGTAATCTAATGAAGGCCTAATTTACTAATTACTGTGTACTTAAATTGCATATCTATTAATCTTGTAACGCTGTCAGGTTTCCAAAAATGTTGGTCCCAAACAGGAATTCAATTAGTCTAAGTAATAAGTTAGTTAAAAATAAGTTTTAAGCAATTAAATAATGTAATTGCCAAAAAAACCAACAATGTATTAATTTAGTAAAAAGGGTACGGGCAATAAAAGCCTGTGGATGTAGTTTCATTTAAAAAGAAAAAAAAAGGTTCCCAAATAAACAAACAAACGAACGAACAAAGAACCAAATAAATAAACATTGAAATTCTCAACAACTTTCATAGCATGAAACACAAGAACGCAGAAGCGCGTACCTCCTCGACGACCTGCCGCCGCGCCTCCGCGAGCTGGTCGCGCTCGCACCGAGCCTGCGCCAGTTCCGCCTCAAGTCGCGCCTGCTTGGCGATGGCCTCGCGCTCCAGCGTCGCCAGGCGCTCGTTCGCCTGCGCAGGCACCACACACATACATACATAATATAATATTGGAACATTAACACACTATACGTTTTCTATAACTTATACACTTTCCATTTTCAAAATGTGTATTTGTTTTAATAATACGAAGGAAATACCTAAATTCACGCGCGTTTCGTCCATCCTAACCCCCTCCCTGCCCGCTTTCGTCCTACTAAAATCAATTAGCGCCAAAAACTCGGTGACCCCTTAACAGATACATCCAGTAATTAAACTTGGACCGATCCGGGACTCGAACCCAGAACCTCCGTATCCATAAACGTACATGCTAGCCACTAGACCATCGAAGCAGTTATACATACATACTTACATACACACATACATACATACAACAACACGTTATATAATTGTATATATATATATATAGAAAATTAATTGACTAAATAACTGTTTACTGGAAACCATCCCAAATTATTTTATGGTATTTCTTGAGCCCACAAAAGAAGCTATTTTTTAATCCGTATAAAATAATAGCATTTCTTCAAAACAAAAAAGTTTTTACTATACCATTTTTTCACTATTGCCTAATTAATATGGTATGCATATTTTAATGGCTATAAAAAAAGAAAAACCTTTTCCAAACAAGGCTCACGAGAATTCAGCTTTTTAGTTAAAAAAAATTTAAATGGCTAGATTTTCAAATCTAGGTCTTAGATTATACTAAATATATTAAACAACTTTTACTAAAAATATACATACATGTGCCAACTCGTCTTCTAAATCGTTGACCTTTTCCAAAGCCGCAGTCTTGGTCTCACTATCCTCCATCAAGGCAGCCACATCGAATACATTGTCGAGGTACGCTGAGATTTGAACCTGTATACCGAAAAATACTATAAATAATAGTTTAAATATGAAGATGGCTTTAGCACTTTGGGAAGATATTTGGTTGAAGTCATCAATAGATGGCGTTGTTTGGCGTTGAACATTTTATTGGGTGGGCACGTTATAAATATAGAATAAAAAGAGAAAGAGTCCCTTTTAATTATAAGTCAGCTGTTCATGTTAACCACTAGACCACAGAGGCAGTAATAAATAATTTATGTTGCCAAATAATATCGTCCTGAGTCACTTTGGTAATAGTGGCCAGTTTCACTGAGTTTTTCTTATAGTAAATGGTTTCGGAACTGTTTACTATTAACTTAAGAGAAACCGTTTTCAATATTAGGTCAAATTTTAGTTACGTATTACAAAGACTACAACTAACTCAAACTGGAAGAAAATACAATGGTTATTCGTTGGATTTTCTTAAATTGTTTAAAAAAGTCACAATATCGGTTTGTATTTAATCAAATCTTTAAAGTGCCATACTTAAAAGAAAGTGTTTTTGTACTTAGCATATTTCTCCTCGATACTACAGATGTAAAAAACCTTGTTTAATAAATTTTTTGATCTGTACATTAATGTTATAAATTTTCAGTCGATGTTACTTTTCTGACTTGACGAATAGGGCATATGTATATTATTATAGATAATATTTTATATCTTAATCTATCCATTAACAAGTCACAGGATCGAAAAGGCAGTTATCAACTAAATAATTACAATACAAACCTGCAAATCCTCACTCTCGCACATTCTTAGCCTCTCCAAGTAATCGTCTAGCTTTAGCGCAGTGAACTCGTACTGGAGGTGCACCCTGAAGTTCATATCCTCTACTGAATGGACTATTATGTTCACAAATTGCATACACGCCACCTGGTGAGGCAAGGGTCAACATAAATCATTATTTTAAAAACGTTTTAAAAAAATCTATAAAAATCTCTTAAAATTGAGTAAAAAATAATAAATCCCAGAAATACAAAAAAAAAACTTTTTGTTTTATTGCAATAGAGTAAATTCATATAGGTACCATACAAGATATTTCTTAGTCATTAACGTTTTTTTGTCTTATTATAAACTGTCTATAATAAAAACTAGCCCTAAGGTTAAACAACAAATAATAGAAAAGATCTTGTAGACTCACATCATGGATGTGACCCGCAAAGTAATTATATTAAGTTCCTATTAATTAGTAAATATGTATCACAAATATTCAATGACACTGAAAGTTTTGGCGCGCAAGACCGTTACAATTAACCATTTTTTTTTGTGTATCTTATATTAATTGCAGGAGATAATAATACAAACCTAAATAAATAAAGCTTAAACACAGTTTTCTATTTCAAGAGTAACAGCTGTGTGCATTTGTTACCTTTGTGTTATTTGAATAAAGTCTGTTTTTTTTATATTTTTATTTGATTAAAAAATACAACATTTCTATTATATAATCAAACATATCTATTTTTTCAGATTTTGACTTTAATTGTTTGGAAAATTGTACCATGGTTCAAATAGATCAAGTGAGACAGTACGGACGAACTGCTTTTACTTACTTTTACTACTCTACTTACAAAAGGTTTCTTACTGAACCTTTTAGATACTTAGGGAACTTAAAAAAGCGATTATAATAAAACTTACCATAAACTCTATATGGAAGGTGTCATAATTCATGAAATACTCCATCAGTGTGTGAAACCTTCTGGGCTCTCCGACCACTTCTTTGAAATTATCAAATGCGGATAATATTATTTGATGGCCGCCCTTGACTAAGCAGATGGCAGCCAAAAGTTCTAGAACCAACGCCTTAGTCCTTAGGGAGTGGTGGACTAGAGACAGGGCTATGCTGTTGATTGCTTCTCTATGTTGTATGACCATGTTGAAACCATACTGAAAGGAAAATTAACTTTTCAAAAGAAGGTTTATGCGAAAAGATGTTATATGGTAATTTCTATATTTATTTTTTTTGGAATAATATTAGGTTGTTTTATAAAACAACCATGTGAAGAATTTACATGTATTAGATCACACATCGATCGATGTAATTTCTTGTTGCTTATGACAAACACATCTTAAATAAAAAAAAATTATTTTGATTTTTGGTTCCTGACATTGCCAATGTTTTACAGCCACTTTGATCACGGGAGAGTCTCACCTACGCAAAATGTTCATTTAAACTATCAAACATTCGCATAAACCTATCAAAACACAGCATTACGCATTTATTTTCAACTCCCGACACAAAAGAGGGGTGTTAACGAGTGTACTGTGTGTCTGTCTATGACATCTTAGCGCCCAAACGGATGACTTGAGTTGAATTTACTTTTTTTTTTGTTTGAAAGTGGTCTATGATGATAAATCAAGAACATCTCTTGGGCCATTTTTGTCAGCACTTTTCTAGATAGTAAAAGGATATGAGCAATTTCCACAGATCTAATCTATTCGAAACTTAGTATCCCATTACTTAAATAACATTGTCAAATTTGACCAGATGCTGCAGCGTCACCTAGAATCTTCAAGATACTTTAATTCTTACAAAAATACAGATATAATTGTCTTTAGGCTCATTAAAATGGCCTCAATGAATAGCTTGTTGCATATTTATAAATTTATAAATAATTGTGTTAGATGTTTTTTTTTATTTAATTTAATGTACCATCACATACCTTATTATTCATAATAGCCCGCATACACATGATACACACGTGTATATCGTCTGTGGAGGCGCCCATGTTGAGCCGGGCGGCGTGTCGCGTGCGCCGCCGGGCCGCGGCCGGGCTGCCCACCGTCTCGCCGTCGGAGTCAGCCGACCGCGCCCTGCGCCGCCAGGTCGAACTCAGTGTGCCGTTCGCTTCTGTTGGCGCGCTACAGTCTGATGTTGTTGTGTTAGCTAAGATGGATGGATTTCAATAATAATAATAAAAAATAACATACATACAGACGAACATAGAACCCCCTTTTTGGGAGTCGGTTAATAATAAAACTGCCTCACACTATACAATTCATATAATAATTTATCTCGACTTCGGTAAATTCTAATTCGGTAAATTCCGACAGTTGCCCAGTCGCTAAATCTCAGTTCAGGATTTTTATAAAATGTTTTTTTTAAATGTTATTAAATAACTTTAAAAGTGAATTAAAAAAATTTCATTGTAGTTATTTGGATGATCTAAAATCATTTCCATTTTTAATAGATAATCATAATTTAGACAGAATGGCGGGATCTAGTGTCGGAGGCTAAGATCCACTTTCGATCGCCGAGTTATCACGATAATATTAAATAGCTACCGTACATATTATACTTCAATAGATGTCAACAAAATAAAAATTATAAAGGACACGACAAAAGGAAGACAGATCGCTAGTCTACACTGTTTTAAAGTTATATACCAAAATGTGTTTGTTGGTCTTTCTTTTATCTATATTAGTAAAGAAGTATATATGTATACATCTTTGTTTCCTCCTTTACAGTTTCATATTTCCGCTATTTTAATAGACTTAAACTTCATAAATTTAAATGCTATATCTATAAGATATAGGAAATAATTTGAAGGCGAAAATCTAAAAAAATATAAAAAAATAATAATTAAACACTTAATATGAAAAATATACGTTAATTAAAATAATAAAAAATAATAATGCGCAAAACACTAATGAGTTCCAATCGATAAATCCTAAAGATTTTAATAATATTGTATACAGTTATAGAATGCGGCTAATTACGATAGTGATAGTTTAACCTAATATGTTCCATTTATTTATATATAAAACATTAACAAAAACGAAAATTTATAGATAGTAGTCCATATCATTAAAAAAAAAACATTTTTATGACCTTATTTCTTTTTTTTTCATCCCGACGTTTCCAATGATTTACAACAAATGAGCCGATGACTATTAGAACATTTGAGCGCCTTTGATTTAATTTCTTTTTTGTGAAAACAACTTTAAGCATTTAGGGTTCAATTTACATTGTTGTATATTTATTTTAACTAGAATAATTACCTAAACACAAATTGGTAATAGTTTTAAGACAACTCTTGCGGAGTTCTAACATTGTGTATCTAGTACTTTTTTGATCGATGGTCGCTGGAGAGAATAGTATAATTATTATAGACGGTGTCTGAATTAAAATCCATGCTTAATATTATAAATGTGAAAGTGTGTTTGTTTGTCTTTCTTTCACGTCGAAACGGAGTGACGAATTGGCGTGATTTTTTGGTATGAAGATAGTTGGAGAGCTGGAGAGTGACATAGGCTACTTTTTATCGCGGGAGATCATCCCATTCCCATGGGAAAACACGTTATAATACAATCCAAAAATTTATTTCTGATCAGAATTTCTAGAAACTTGGTATTAATGCTCTTCAACACAAATAAATACGTGTTTTAGCATTTTTCGAAATTCATCCTATAAGGGGCTAAAATAGGGGATGAAAGTTTGTATGAAACCTAGGTACCTACCTTTTTAGAGGTTGTTTGTAGATTTAGCGCGAGCGAAGCCGCGGGTTCTGCTAGTTTTAAAAAAATATTCGCCGAAATCATAAAAAGGTATTATGTAGTCATATTTCGATAGATATCTATCAAAAATAGATCGATATTGAACTTAATACTGTTAGTGAAGCATATTCACATAAGGTTTTAGTTGGTTTTCAATTTGCAATACACTTTATTTCTTTTTATTTCGATATAATATAATTCAAAGTCTTCCGCAGACAATGATTAATACGTCGAATCGAGGCGCGCAAAAAATAACTGTATACTTTCAAAATCACTGAACTCATGTGTATAATGATAATTTTGATTAATTTATATTTAATGAATGCATTTTCAGTTCCGTATTAGGACTACCTTTAGCCTGCGACTCCGCTTGCGTATGACATTGGTAATATACAGATTTTGTAATAAAGTTAAATTATTAGAATATTCTTTGGAAGAATGAGTATTTTATGTTAACTCGCTTTACAATTATTATTCATTCGTATACATAAACTGTAAGATAGAATTTTCTGCTGGTCATTATTGTTCGACATTTACGACGTTTATAATTGCTTCAACACGAGTGATTCTATTAGGAAAATTAATTGAAAAACATTTTTGACAAATATGTTATTGATAATTATATAAAGTATAAAAATAATATTAAATGAGCAATTCTCGTACATATATATATATATATATAAATTTATATCGTGAATCTCGGAAACGGCTCTAACGATTTGGAAAAATTTTGTACCTATTTAGATAGGCTTTTGCTTATTAAGTTTATCTATATAATATTTAGGGTTCTTTTCTGAAATAAATGGATTTTTTATATCTAGCCCGAAAAACGTCGAGCGAAACTCAGTCACCCAGGTACAAGTGTATTTAATTCCTAAAGAAAAAATATACCTAGTATAAGAAAAATTTACTTCATATGTATTCCCAATTACTTCTAAAAATTGTATTTACAGGTCGCGCATGTTTCATTGCCATAGGTGAATATTAATATATCTTATACACTTGTATACTAAAATTATCAGAATATTATAATTACTTTAATCTAATACATATATAAATATCTCGTGTCACAGTGTTTGTGGTCGCATTCCTCCGAAACGTCTCGACCGATTTTGATTTGTTTGGTATATTTGGTAGGTATAAGAATAGGTTGTAAAGTATTTTTCACCCTCCTACCGCCAACCCTCCATTTTTTTCGCGATTTTAGTATTTTTGTATGAACAATCTTATATATAAAATTTCCATGCCACAATGTTTGTTACCGTACTCCTCCGAAACGGCTTTACCGATTTTTACCAAATTTTATATGCGTATTCAGTAGGTCTGAGAATCGGCTACTATCTATTTTCCATACCCCTAAGTGATAAGGATAAGGGTGGTCCTCCCAGACCCCACCCCAGGAACGAACCCGAGCGGAGCGAGGGTGAGTCGCTAGTAGTATATAAATACACTAGCGGACCCGACAGACGTTGTCCTGTCTACACGTCTTTAATTTGAAAATTTCAAACTTTTTTTAATAATTTTTTTGATGAAAATTATTATTCAAATTGTGAATCTAAACCATTCCCAGATCCCCTTGAACACACACAAAAAATTTCATCAAAATCGGTCCAGTCGTTTGAGAGAAGTTCAGTGACATACACACTCACAGAAGAATTATATATATAAAGATATAATACTGCTGTATAACATAACGTTTTTTTTTTGTAGATTGAACGCGGGCGTAGCTGCGGGTTCTGCTAGAGTATTTTTATTGAATACTATACTTTTTATCCCGGTATATCTAGAATTCCCCTGGTAAATTGGTCTATTACAAGTAAAACGGCATACCCTGGTTGATAGCGTCAGTGGACTGACTCCTGGCGAGCGCTATCCTTTGCTCGTGCCGCATCATGCTCAGCCTGAAGCTCAGGTAGTCGATCAGCACGTCGAGGCCTTGGTTATCGTCGTTTAGGAATTCTCTTACCCATCTAAAACATATAATGTTAAATTATTAGGTGCCTAACAGTAGCATTTGACGACACGTTTGGCTCAGTTTGTAGTGACCCTACTTGCTGCGCCAGTGGTCGCGGGTTCGAGTCCCGCTGTTCCCTGTCATGGGTGTTTATATTTGTAATATGTATGTATTTAAAGTTATATATGTGTAGTAAAAATAAAATTAAATGTTCGAAAAGGCTGAAAAAGATTGTTTTATTTAAAATACATTCACATACAAATTTTAGAATTTACAATACTTCTATTATATTTATATACTTTATTCATTCAATTTATTACATTTATCCACTTTATTTGTAAACACAGAATAAAACGTAAAACTTTCGTATCTGCTTCTTACTTTTCACAAAGGTTTTTAACAAACTCTTATAGCATTTACGTTGATATAATTACAAGCACTTTAAAAAATATATGTTACTAGCGACTCACCCTCTCTCCGCTCGAGTTCGTCCCTATGTGCGTTTTGACGGTTAGTATAAATATATCAGTAAAAAGTATCCCTATCATCAACCAAAATTTCATCAAAATCTGTCCAGTAGTTTTCTAGTGATGCGTTTCCAGACACAGACAGACAAAAATTCTAAAAACTAGATTTATTTCAATAAGATTTTCCAAAAAAATATTTATTGTACATATTTAAGTCAGAATTTTACTATATGTATAGATCTATCTGTTACTAATTATACGTGGCTAAACTTTGCAAAAGAAATAGTGGCTCTTACGCTTCATCTAGAATAAGGAGACATAATTCTTTAATTGTACGACGTCTTTCAAACGGCTAGTTGCATTTCCAATTTTACAATAAATCATATAACATATTATATTTAACAATAAAATAGTAGTAAAATTACTTACTCGATGTGATTGGTTCGTAAAGATATTTCTAAATCCCTAAGCACTTGTGTCGATGTGGAATCCCCGACCATTTTCCTTTTCTGCAAACAATTAAATTAATTTAATATAATAAGATTTAATATGCATAAAAGAGAAAGCTTAGAAAGTTGCATCTCGTGTGATTTGTCGTGACGCTTTTTTTATCAAGATAAGAAATAAGCTATAATACATAAGTTTAGTTAAAAGTATTATCCCTAATAATATAATATGTATAGCGTTATTTAAGGTGGGGTATTACTAGTGAAATGACATGAAAATAAACTTAGTATCTTTGTTTTTATCCAATTTTGTTTTTTTTTTTCGGAAAAAAATATCTATTGGAAATTAAATGTTTTATTGCGGTATGTTTTCGGATTTCTTATATTTTACTAAAATAACGAATCGAATAAAGTATAATGGATCAATTAAATAAAAAAATATTCTTTCTCCGTGTCAATGTCAGTACCACTTTCAGTATCAGTGCCACCTACACTAGTTTTGTCCTTGTCAGTGTCGGAATTTTCACATGTAAATTTGGCACTATTCAGCCAAAAGAAAGTATGGTAGGTTTAAAAATAAACAGAACTCTAATATGAACTCGAACACGAAATGAAGTATTGATCTTTTGACGGAAACTACCTTAATGATTTTAAATTCTTGTACCTTTGAAAAAAACATGCTCCAGAAAAAAACGCAATTTATTTTAAAAAGAAAACGGTGTTTTCCAAAATACGGTGAGCTATTACACTAAATTAGTGTATGAATAACAAATTTCATAAGATATGTAAATGTTTCTAAATTAATCTTAATGTTATAAAAATTTTGAGGTCAGATAGTGTAAATTAGTTCTAGTTCGACTGTTTCTGACAAACTTCGTATCTCGAAATCTTAGATTTCATAATATTTTTCTTATTCTTTAATTTCATAATATCAATTATCTTATTAAATTCGACAACCACGATTCAGCGATGGGGATAGTTTGTTAAAGCATTATGGACATAACAAGACGCCAGATTGGCCCACGTCCTTATAAGCAAACATTCCTTTCATATGCTCTTACGAACACCGTACGCCCACCACGATTTTGATATGGCGCAATTAATAGGTGATGGGCTGAGAATATTATACAGATTAATCTTAAGGAATGCTTTAACAATATAATGACCTTGTTTTAATATTTGTCAGCCTTTCTAACGATTATGTGTAGAATTCAACTTGAGTAAAATGTGAAGGACCGACATAAAATATAATTCGTTCTTTAGAACTTCGTGTATTTAGAACGATTTTAGTAAAATATTCCTTTTTCAGCGTTCTATTTAGTTAAACTTTTATAAAATTTAATTGAGACAAGGGATATTTAACTTTAATTTAAAAAAAAAACATACATCTATACTAATATTATGAAGAGGCAGAGTTTATTTATTTGTTTGTTTGATTGAACGCCCTGATCTCAGAAACTACTAATCCGATTTGAAGAATTGTTTTTGTATTAGAGGTCTATTATTTATTGAGGAAGGTTAAAGGCTATATCATATAATATATAGTCTATCTATTCCATACTAACCGTTAAAACGCACATAGGGACGAACCCGAGCGAAGCGAGGGTGAGTCGCTAGTAACATATTAAAATAACAGTCGGTTCTACCTTTAGAATAGTATGTATTTCTGAGAAGAAACTTTATTTAATAGCTTTTACTCTAGAAATAATGACTCAAATAATTTGGGATGATATAAATCTCAATGTGAGTCAGGGGTTATAATTGTACAACGAATGTGACTCTCGACCTATGAACGTGCGACCTCATTCCAATGATCCCAACGTACAGAAATCAGATGGCACTGATTAGCCTAATGTGTTTGAACGCTTTGTTGCTGATTATAATAGATCTTTGTCCTGAATTTTATTTTTATTAAGTGAATTGACAAATTGTATCCATGTAGGTGCCATATTAAGACAAAGTACATGTAATTAGTTCTTTGGCTTTAGAATTTGTCTATATTTAACAGCCATCTGGTAAATTAACTCAATTAATCTATGACGTTCAGAAAGGGCATAGAGCACATAACTAATACACATCAGCATACTGCATAACCGGTGTCAAGTGACACGTGCTTAACAATATGTACCTATATTATTGCGTGTTAACTCTAAGTATGTGGGTACCTTCATACAGGCGAACAGGGACAATAGAGCTGACGTCATATTCTCACGGAGGATCTCCAATAACATTGACTACATTCACTCGTGTGAGTCATCAGAAAGACATTTATATAAGGATGACAATTCATCCTGAGGGGCTTAATCTTGGGACCACTTGGGATAAAATTAAGTGTTGCGGTTTACAAAATAATATTTGATGAGTCCATCTGGTTTAGATTAAAATTATGATGATAAAAAGAGTATTTTAGATTTTTTTGTATATAGAGCGATAATTTCTATGTAGACGTAATAAAAAGATGTTTTGATAAGAACTTCTTTGATAACATGTAAATATTTTCTATTTAACTATGTATAATGTATATACTATACACATTATACAAAAGACTTCAAGTTATTTTAAAAGGAATTTAACTAAAATTGAATCTCCTCCTTCTTATTAGTCGGTTAAAAATGAAAATGAACAATCTAGTTCTTAGGTTTTAGCAATAAGTATTTCCTATGAAAAAATTATCTATTAATAACAAAAATATGTAACTTTTTACTTAATAACCTATTAATAACGCATATAAAGACTAGATAAACAGTAATTCTGACAGAACAGAGGTTAGATTTGCGGTTAGACGATTAGTTACAGTCCCTAGGAATTGTACGCTACAACGCAGTCAGCTGATGTATTGCGCTTTGTGCTAACGGTACCTAATAAGGCACTGTGCAGTATGGAACGTAGTATTTAAATATCCACTAGGCTTTTATCTTCTTTAGAATTAAGATGTCCTTAGCCAAAAATTGTACTTGTGGAAAAAATTATACATAGAGTACGTTTACAATATGAAGAAACTACTTTTTAATACTTATTTTAGGCCTTTAAATCCCAAAGGAAAATACGAAAACTTCATACGGTCATTGGTATGTCTGAAAGTCTACCTGTCACAGCGTATTTTCTCTAAATCTAGGTCTATTTAGTTATATTTTTTTTGGCAAAAGATAAAGTAAGCCATTAGTTTTTACAGGTTAAGGGATAAAATGTTACTTAACAAATAAGTACTAAATTAATCAAATGCGGTTTTAAAATGGCGGCAACGTTTAATGTTGTCAAATCTTAATACATAAATCTTTATCATTTCGAAAGCATCATACATACCTATATGAAATCAATTTGTAGATCATTTAGTATCATTATCATAGATTAACTATCAGTACCCGCGGCTTCGACGTTCAAACTTCCGATCGCTACTAAACTTATCTGAAGATTGCCTCATAATTTCATCAAAATCACTCCAGCCGTTTTGGAGTCCATAAAGAACATACACACACACACCGATTTTATATATACTATAGATAGATAGATTAACTGAGTAACATACCCTATGACTTCTGGACGCTTTCGGGTCGAGGTAGGTGCGCAGTTTGTTGAGGTAATGTGCTGGCGAGTCCTTTGCTTGGACCATATCTTGATCGCATATAATCTCCCATTTCTTTTCGAGGTCATAATTGCGCAATAACTTCGCTTTATCCGGAGGAAGGTCCATGGACGCCTGGAACAAAGAGCATTGGTTAAACATCTAGGAAAACAACTTATTTCCTCTATTCTAGCTCCCACCGTGCAATAAATCATATGAATGTTTAGATGACCCCTGATGATCTTATGATTGCTTGTACGTTATGTCCTTAAGCAATAGTTGCAACTTGTAGATTTTGATAAATAAACGCTTTGGGAATCTAAAATATTACTTATTACTCGTAGTAACAAAAATAAAACACTCAATATTCCAAAAAATATTTATATTCCTATTTTCTAATAAAGAATAGAAAAATATTCGATTTTAAAGTGTTAACATACGAGTAACTGAAACAAAACAATCATTTCATTGAACACGTTTTTATATTGACAAGGTGGAAATTATGCATTCTAGCGAGGACTTTAAAAAATCATCAATTAGATTGCCGCCATAGTAGTCATATGTAAATTTTTACTGTCTTGTTAGCATGCTATGTATAACTAGCACTTTACTGAAAGTAAAACTATAAAAACTGGAATAAATTACATTTCGTATCAAACGCAAACGTTATCTAGGCATATTTACCAAACGTGGCCCGGCATTGAACCAGTTAGCGGGCTAACGGTACAAAAACCCAATGGGCTAGGGTTAGCGATGTTTATTTATCTGTCGAGCATATCTTTACATGATATTATCGGAGATCAATAAAGATAAGTACCTTTTTTAATTAACATATTATGCACGAACAGATCTATCTTGTCGTTACGCAATGAAAGCTTTTATATTACGGTAAGTTTTGTATGTTTTGTACTTTATAAATTACTCTTAAATTACAATTAAAATAACATGATTCATCTAATAATAAGAATGGTTCAATGATTTCAAAAATACAAAAAAAAATGTTTTTCACGATTTGGGGTGGAATTGTTTTTTTTTAAATTGGTGATCCCATATAAATTTTCCCTTATGTAAAAATCCTTTGAAAAATAACACGTTCAATAAAAAAATTACGAAATTGATTACCAATTGGCGAAGATATCCAAACGCAAAAACATACAGACGAATTGAGGTTTTGAGGCCTCAAGCCGGTAAAAATAAGATATTATTAAAAATAAATATACACTTTCAACAAAGTTATGATTATTAATTTTCATGAAAAAATTGTCAAGAATCCAATTTAAAATTGGACCGAACACTTTTTACATTCAACAAGCTAGATTAAAAAAAATTATGACGTGTATAAAAAAGTAGCTATTACGAGTATAAACAATAGTTAAGCGAATATAGTTTTTGAACCTATATTTTCTTCTTGAAAGATGTTCCATGAGTTTTTTGAGTTCTACAACATTTATCGCTCGCTCATCATCTTCAAGCTACAAAAAAAAATTTGCGAGGTGAGATTCAAAAACGTTAAAGATTAAAATATTTCGAACAAACTTCTACATTATCTATACTAATATTATAAAAAGGTAAAGTTTATGAGTTTGTGACGTTGTAGGGCGTAATTTCTGGATCTACAGAACCGATTTAGATGAAATTTAGTAAGAAGATAGTTTGAGACCTAGGAAGGACATAGGATACTTTTTATCCCTGAAACCTTCCATTAAGGGGGTGAAAATGGGGTTGAAAGGGAATCAACCTATAAACTCCAATATAATCCTTTCCACTGATAGATCTCACACTAACACTATAAAACAGTACTTTACCAGACAAAAAATAAAATTTTAAACTTTAGTCTAGAAACGAGTTAATATCTGTCTTGAAAATAAATATCCTCTTACACTACGCGTGTTGTAGGTACACGTATGTAGCTTGCGGGCGACAGCTAATAGATTAGGATCAAAATATTATACTTATAAACATGTTCTCAAGTTCGCTTTACAATATTATTTTCTTACAAGTGAAATAAAACCGCACCATTAGCATTTGCATGGGGCAATAACTCGAGATTCCAAGATTATTACGTTATCTATATTCCCCTGGGAAATAAGGCTTCGTCGCCCGTTCAATCAACGTTTCTTAGAATTTCTAAGTATGGCCTTAAAATATTAATTTACTAATAACTTTATAGTCTCTTTTATTTGGTAAAATTATACAAACATAATAAAGAAGAAAGATTTGTTTGTTTGTACCGAACAAGCTCCGAAACGACTGGACGGATTTAGATAAGTTTGGTAAGAAGATAGTTTGAGACCCTGGCTAGGTCATAGGATTTTTATCCCGAAAATCATCCCTTAAGGAGGTGAAAATGGGGATGAAAGTTTATATGGGGAATCAACCTAGGCAAAACCCGAGCGAAGCGAGAGTGAGTCGCTAGTATTTAAATAAACTCGTATTACATGTAGAAAATATATAGGTATGAACAGAATTTATTATAGGTGTTTACATATATATCTATATGAAAAAGCATTTCAAAATTATTCTATTTATTTATGGATAACACTAAAACTCGTCAATGGCTACTAAACAAAAAAAGAAAATCGATTGAACTGCTTTGTCTTTAGGTATCTATTTATAAATATTTTCCAATTTACTTTACTTTTACTTAAAATAAAATATTATTCAGGATTACGTTCACAATAATTTTAAATGCGAATGAAATTTAGGGTTATACGTACATATATCCAATCAAGCGAGTTGGGTACATAAATCGCACAGCCCTAGTCAAACATCTCAAGTGGAACCTGTTCATCCGTACGGCGATTTTGCATCCGATAAACCTAATGAGATCAGATGGCTCTCGACTATCACAAATTATTGCTGACATGAAAGCTCGTATGATACGAGCTTTCATGTAGGATATGTTCATTTATGGTGATTTACAGGTTGTTTGCAATTTATACGTGTTCAATATAAGAAAATTAATTTCTATATTGATATGTAAATTGCTTATTACATTCTGTAATTATTATAATATATTTAGTTTGTTGCTTATAAAAGGGATTGCAAAGATATATTTTGTTTGCTTATCGAAAGACTGTGAATTTGAGAATTATAATATACGTATAATGGTATTTGAAAAGAATAATTTGCAAGACGTTCTCTTTAATAATACTCTCTGTCTCTAACTAAACCTCTTTAAATTAAGTAGAAGAATCAGTAATAAGCAATATATAATACCTATTCAGTTTTTGTTACAAACAAATAAGTAATAAAAGGAAAAGCATTTCCATTTTCTGAACTAATGGATACACAAACAGATAATAAAGAATTCGAAGTTTTGTCATAAAACAGGCAATCAGAATGTATTGCGATTAATCATCAACGTGTAGGACGTATATTGGTACACTTACAATATTCACATACAGCCAAATTAATCCTGGTAGGCAATATTATTAATGCGAATTGCGAAGGCTTAGATAGCTGTTACTCAATCGTGTAATTTTTGAGTGAATTAAGAATAACAGATGTATTATTTAGTTCCACCCTCAACTAAACCCGTCGTTAAACGCTATTACATCCATCTATATATTCTATTTAGCCCATTTTTAAAATCCCACAGCTGGGCACCGGCTTCTCTTCAATACGAGGGTTATCAGGCCATAGTCAAACACGCTGGCCAAGTGCGAGTTGGCGGACTTCATATGTCTTTCGAAAACTTGCTAGGTTTTCTCAGACATGCAGGTTTCCTCATGATGTTTTCCTTCATCGTATGACAAGTGGTAATCAAGTCAGAAATGATTCGCAAGCCACGTTATCTACAAGTATGTAATATATATTTGTCTTAAAATCTGATAAAAAAATGATTTGATAGGCACATAGCGTGTCAGTTTTTTTATGTGCAGTCAATCTAGGTGATAAAACTAGTTCAACATTAACTGAACCGAAAAATGAATGAAACATGATTAGTGACACGTTCCGCCTGGTTAATTAGATGAGTGCTTGAGATTACCTTCACAAAAGCCAACCAACAATACCGTAGTAACGAAATGAGATTCGCCGTGATTCAAATCACGAAAGTTGGTACTTAAAGTGACAGTACGTAACAGTTATTTTAAATGACAAAATAAATTGAATGCAGTCAAAAAGCCACAAACATAAGTAGATATATACATATGTAATATCCACAAATCCAGAAGTGTAAGAGATATTTTTACAACTTTAAGATTTATTTACTATATAACATACAACATACATACATATACAAAGGTAATAAATGTTACAATGAACAAACAATATTTTATTACATTGAAAATATATTCTAGTTTTGTTTATCCAATTTAACGCCTCAGCGATTGATCTATTTATCATCGTATCTCAATTACTGCGGCAAATTTAAGTAAAATTACTTTTAATATTGATTTAACCAGTACCTTGCGAAACAAAAACGTAATATTTCATTATATCTAAATATCAGTTCATCAGAAACATATCTTCACTTCGAGATTTTACGCTGTTTTTATGTCTTTGCCTGTATGTTTTGTTACACCATATGTAGGAGCTCTCAATACCATCACAAGATGGTGCAGAGAAAATGAATTATCAATAAACGCTGATAAAACAGTTATTGTACCATTTACCAGGAAAAGGAAGCTTGAAAGGCTGATCGAACTCAGACTCAATGGCAAAACCCTTAACCTATCAAATGAGGTAAAGTACCTTGGAGTCACTATTGATCAAAAGTTGACCTTTTTATGGGACTAAGGGGGCAAACGGGCAGGAGGCTCACCTGATGAAAAGTGATCACCGCCGCCCATGGACATCTGCAACACCGCAGGGCTTGCAGACGCGTTGCCGGCCTTTAAGAAAGGAATACGCTCTCTTCTTGAAGGTGGCCAGGTCGTAGCGGTTCGGAAAGACCGCCGGCGATAGCTGGTTCCACAGAGTGGTTGTGCGGGGCAGAAAATGCCTTAAAAATCGCACTGTTGTGGAACGCTGGACATCGAGATGGTGTGGATGGAATTTACTATTTTGGCGCGATGTCCGATGGTGAAATTCGGCAGCCGGGATCAGTCCGAACAATTCCTCGGAACACTCCCCGTGATAGATGCGGTAGAAGATGCAGAGTGATCCAACATCTCTACGCAGAGCTAAAG